GCCCTCACCAAACACCAAATCTGCTGGTGTCTTGATCATGGACTTCCCAACCTCCAGAATGGTGAGAAATAAATCTCAGTTATTCACAAGCTACCCAGTTTATAGTATTCTGTTATAGTAGACTGAAAGGACTAAGACACTAATAATTCCTGCCCTGCTGGCAAGCTGGGTTCCTGTCCTATATCATTTTTGCTCTAACTGTTCCAAGAATGATCCATGGTGGCTTTGTGAGTCTGAATGTTTTCAGTTGCATCCAATAAGACCCCTTGGTGTGTATTGTTTGATATCACTATTCATCCATTTATCTATCTATCCTTTATCCACACAAACACATACATACGAATATAATCAGCAAGGAGAAAAATGTACCTTGTTTCTATAGTCCTAGTTTCTGTAAGTGATCACAAGGCCATGGTTGATATTTATATATTTCTTCTTCCACTGTACATTTCATGTTTCCTTTATCTTCATCTGGGTCCTTAGCTGCTTGGATTCTTTACCTGCTGGAGTAACTCACACCTTTGTTCCTGTTAGGTCAGAATTCTCAGTGGCTCTGCTTTTATTTAAATGTCTGTGGTCTGCCACTCACCTTTCCCACTTGACAAGGAAATACTAAAAGGAGGCCTATTGAGTCTTCTGTGTTCCAAACACAGTCCTCTCAGAGTCTCATATTTGAAACTCTGAGAAACTCCAGGTTCCAAGAATTGTATCAGTCAGTGCCCAGTAAAGAAAAATAAATAACTTTTAATTTAACATAGAGAAATCCATATAAGAAATAGGTTAAATAGATATAGAAGGACTGAAAAGCCAAAAGGAGACACTGAAGTAAAGCAGATGGTACTTGTAGAATGCAGCTACCAGTCCTCAAGTTGGGAGACCAAAGGGAAGACATTGCATCATTTGAGCCTAGAAACTTAGGGAAGAAACCACAGAGAAATGAAACCTAACCTCAGAGGAAGGGCTGCTGTCCAGCTGATGCTGATTCCTCAGGAGTTCAGACAAGGGACCTGTGGAGCTGGGCCAGCATATCTGAGAAGAGGCATTGCTTGGCAGTCTCTTTAGGAAAGGTATCTTTGAGGAAGAGGCACGAGCCAGTTGTTATTAGTACTTCTGACGTTGTGTAACACAACTGTTTTTGAAGTTTTAAAGAAAGAAATGTAAACCTCCAGGTAAAAAGCATTGTCGTGGTGTCACTGACAGAAAAGGAAGCAAAGCAAAGAGGAACAAGTCTCTTCTCCCTGCTTCAGTCCTCTAATTTTCCTTTAACATCTTCTATTGTAAGGAAGTAGCTAAAAAAGAAAAATATAGTCACAGAGCTGCAGCTTCAGCATCATAAAGGAGAGAATAAAAGATTGGCTTTGGATCTGAGAGCCTATAGCATAGTAACAGACAGTTTAGGTATGGCCATGTGACTTGCTTTGGCCGATGAAATGTATGCAGAAGAGACAGTATGTCAGTTTCTATTTGATGTTTCCCCTAGCTCTCTTGCACCTCTTCCATCTGATATAAAAAGAATAGTCCAAGCTTGTTCCTGGACCAAGGAAAATCATGCATCAAGTGGAGCAGAACAGAATGAATTTTTCAGACTTGGAATCAAAGTCCAGGCAACCAGCAAAACCCGTAATAGGAAAAATAAATGCTTGCTCTATGTCACTAAGATTTTGAAGATGTTTTTACATTACAAATAAATGAAACACTCAACTGCCTTCTTTATAAAATGGGAATTAAAATACTACCAATCCAGCAACACATAATACATAATATGAGTAAAAGAACATCAGCATGAAAAATCCAGAATACAACTACACTGAGAGGCACCTGGTAGGGCATTAGATCACATGAAGGATGTACTGATTTTGGCTCTAACAACTGCAGCTGGCCAAGGTAATCAATAACATTGCCAATTCGCAAGAAATCTGTTTGGCATAATTAGGATTTTTCCTAAGAGTAAAACGTGGACTGCACACACAACAGTAAACACAGTTTATATTTCCTTTCTCTTCATTAGCAAATTCCAAATTTTCTGGTTCTGCAGATTTAAGGATTCTATTTTTGACTTTGGTTTGTCTTCTTTGTACATACTTGAAGTCTTACCCCTGACATACTCTGGGGTTAGTTTTGGCATATATTTCATTTCAGTTTATATTTCCTTTCTCTTCATTAGCAAATTCCAAATTTTCTGGTTCTGCAGATTTAAGTATTCTATTTTTGACTTTGGTTTGTCTTCTTTGTACATACTTGAAGTCTTACCCCTGACATACTCTGGGGTTAGTTTTGGCATATATTTCATTTGAGCAGAACTGAACAGTCCAGGTGGCAGCAGTTGAATAGGGTCAAGGGGAAGCAAAGGCCCATTATCTGTCACCTACTCCATTGTACTGGTAGAAAGGGAAGACACTCTTGTAAGAGCTCAGCATGTATGATGTCTTATGGTGGTAAAGGGGGGTTCTAGAACAGATTTTGCAATGTTAAATAGAGAAAGTTAACCAAAAAGAGTGGATTCTGTCTCTTCCAAATCACGTTCCAAATACTTATCACAGGAAATACTATTTAAAATCTGATCAATCAGACATCAACTAAAGATGGAAATTTCCAGTGTTCTCAGTTACTCAAGACAGAATGAAAAGGGAAATATCTACTTCCTGACTACAA